ATAGATGAAGAGTGAAGAGAGAAAGAAGTTGAGGTATACAAAGTTATCTACACGTTGTGTGAGTCGTGATGCACAAATTGTTGTCTTTTTGGTAGGTTCTTTGTTTCAACCTATATAGTCGTGTTCTTTGCACTGCCTTTGGTTTGCGACTTTGCTATCGACACAAGCACCAGTCTAGCTTCACCTGTGCTTTACTCATACTTGGTCGAATCCTTGGCGGTTATATTTAGTAATCTGTGATTTACCTGCCACCCCTGAGGTCTGTGAGATTTACCTGCCACCCCTGAGGGTCTCCGTTAACGTTGAGACAGTCGGTGAGTGGCTCCCACTGTAGTTCTATGGACGAGGCGGTCACCTCTCTCACCTGGAGACCGCCGGGGGCTTCACTGGGCGCTAGAGAGATCAACCAACAAGTGTAAATAATAATAAAGGGTGAAGGTATAAAGGTGTGAAAGTAAGGGGAATAGTAAAAGAGTAGAGATAGGCCCTTCCATAACATCTGGTAACCAAGTATGCAAACCTAACTGAGCAGACTTTCCTACCACTCCAAAAACAAACCAAATTACAGTTAAATTCTTTTTATCTAAGGGAGAAAGAAAAATTGGAAAAGGAAGGACTAGTTATGTAGCTATAGCTAAGAAAGAAGTAGCAATCCAAGCTCCATGGTGACTGGGACTATATCCCTCCGCTGTGACTCAGAACCAGTCAACTGTTGACCACCAAGAATTGACAACCTAGAATACTTGCCTCCCTTGCTGGTGTTGAAGTGGAGTGGAGAGCTAACTGGACTGTCACCAATACCACTGCTCAGTGTCTGAACCATCACTCCATATGTACTGGCCTGCAGAGAGAGGCACATTGATACTGCTATAGTTGATCTTCTATCTAATTCTTCCTTCTCTCTAAAACACATAATCATGTAATATGAATAATACGGTGATGTAGCTGCTAATGAAAATGATTACCTCTATTACTAGTGGCTAGACATAGTTTCAACTTCTTATTGCACCTATAAAGCTCCTTGTCGTTAAATTTTTGTCTTTTGCTTATTTTACCTCCTGAAGGCCTGGAACCACAATTCTCATCCGCTCGGGAGAAACGGAGAAGGTGCGGTTGGTCTTGTCTCCGAGGCAACCGTCTGGCATCCCCTCCACCCTCGCTATCGTGATGACATAATCGTCGGGAGTGATGGCGGAGAGGAGGGGAGAGGGGGAGAGGATGATGGTCGCGGATGTGCTGGTGATGTTGGTGATTGTCAGAGGTGGAGGAGACAGTCGGGCTGTTTGAGGACACAAGAAAAAACAATCAAACTAAAAAGAAGCTAGTCCATCGTACACTCGTCCGCCAGCTATTGTAAATTTAGACGCCGGCAGATTCAAATTGACCAATCAGATTTCGTAAAACGTGGATTCTAAATCCCGTATTTTCCAAGTGCGTGTTACCACGGAGACGCCCGCCAGAAAATGTGTCTTCGATGGCAATGTTTTAAGCCTTAAAATCTGCTTACAAGTGAAATGCTTAAAAACATAACATTTTTGTGTGTATGGCCGATTAAATTTTCCTACGTTCAAAAAAAAACATTAACTAGCAAGGTGATAGAGCCCATAGTGTGCTGATGATTTCATATTCAGTTTTGTACATAACTGGTGTGAGTACTGCAGTGACTGTATATACTGAGGAAGGCAGTGAAGGAGGTCACTCCGGGAAGATGATCAGACATTGCCATGACGGACGACTCTGTATTTCCTCTCGTCGTCGACCAATCTCTGGATCATCGTCTGGCGACTGCGAGGCTTGAGAGTCATGTACGCAGCCACCACCCCGTTGCCGTAGATGACCGTGATTGTGTAGCTACGAACAGGGGCTCCCCCCTCCGGCTGAGCCCAGCTCACCTAGACAACACAATACAAGCTTGCATCTTTTCATGTGTAAGGTAGAGGGATGACAGTATGTAAATGTACAGTGGAACCTCCGATAAGGGACCCTCCGAGATAGGGACGACCTCTCTACAAAGGACACTTGTTTCAACCCCATGCTAATACTTTAGTGTATTATTTGACCTCTGAGATAGGGACGACCTCTCTACAAAGGACACTTGCTTCAACCCCATGCTAATACTTTAGTGTATTATTTGACCTCCGAGATAGTGACGACCTCTCTACAAGGGACAAAATCGTTGGCCCCATAGTGTCCCTTGTTCAGAGGTTCCACTGTACTATTATTACTGTACTAGAACATTATCAGATACTTGCTTCACTGCTGGCCCTATTTGACCTACGACCTCTCTACAAGGGCCTGCTGGACCTATTGATCTTTAACCCTTATTTACTGTCACATTCCCTTCAGCTTCAACAGTTTCTCCCAGTCGATCTGACACAGACCTTGATAACGGAGGAAGCTATCTGGGTCCAGGTAATGTTGGTGGGAGGGAGAGCCGAGGAGAGGGTGTGGTTTCTCGATGACGTCGACACCCCATTGGAAGCCGTGCAAGTGAAGGTATCGCCATGGTTACCAGTCGTCTTGGTAACAGATGCCACGTAGTTATCGTTGCCTGATCTCTGGAGGGTTCCCACGGCAACTGGCGGATTGTAAACCTCTCCCCTTGGTCCTAAATAAAGCCCAACATATGTTGCGTGAAGCAAAGCGTATGGGTATAGTAATGAGGTAATAATGACATCATGCTGAATACTAAACTAATCAGGGAACAGTTCTTGGGAAGTGTTAATTAATTGGACCCGATTTGGTTAACTCCTATGTAATGAAGGGTTAATTGCATAAAATTGCACTGGGTGGCCATAACCTGTAAAGGAGCTTGTAAGCACCGTTCCCCCGGTAACGGTGCAGGTGATGGTGTATGACAGGTTGATGATGTCAGGATCCAGTCGGAACGTCAATTCAACTTCGACTGCAGAGAATAAGAACAGCTGCATGCCCAGCATAGATGCATGCATCTTGTATAGGAAACAAAGTCACATTATAATGCAATGCACCAACCTTTCCACCAACCATGAATACTAAGCATTGATTCCTATATAGTTACACCACAGTCTCATAAAGTGCAAGATATTTTTTACAACATCCGCGATATCGCAACAAAACTCAAACTGTTTGACTGCTCTTAAAACTTGTGATGTATGGCAGCTGTAACGTGTAACTCACTGGGGTAGTAGAGTCCGACAGAGACGACTCCGTCTCCCACCACCTCACAAGTGTATACTCCCTCCATGGACTCCCCTGGCTCCGGGTACAGGCTCCGCGACCTCAGTCTCACCTGGTGCCGGTGGGTGGGGGGACCAATATACAGTGGGATCACTCTAACCAACATTGTGAGAATATTTGTGTCGACAGCAATCACTTTGAGCAAATTTGAGTCAACAGTGAGCATCTAATGCAGCATAATTATAGTGGTCCATGTGCAAAGGCATGATCGAACTGGACTTACTCTTTTCGCAACTTGCTCCACTGCAACTACGTAACTTGCATTGCAATGTCCTATAAATAATCTCAGATGAATCATTTTTCAGCTATATATACAATTTCAGTCCATCTGCAATTTGTGACTTATTGATGGGTAGCTCTCACATCTCTCTCCTTCATCCCGCCATTTATAACCATTAGCTGCAAAAGAACTCTATCTCCCTCTTCCCTCTCTCTCTCGCCATTGGTCTGCGCGCGCTGCGCTTCCATCTCGCTCTACGCATTTCTCTCTCTCTCTCTCTCTCTCCTCCATTTCTCTCTCAACTCAATATATCTCCCGTCCTCCAATAGCGAGCTAGTATCCGCCATCTCTCTTCTCTTCCTCCATTTCTGACATGGGCTCTCTCGGCCGCCAGTGGATCCTCTCTCCTCTGTTCTGCTCTCTCTCAACGCCATCTCGCTCAACGCTCACGGAAGCTCTCCCTCTGTTCCTCCTCCACCCCAACTCGCTTGTCATCGCTCTGAACTCTCCTCTGCTGAGCGTTGCCGTACTGGTAGTACCAGTTTGAGGAAGGAGACCCGGGGATGGAAGAGAGGCACTGGAGAGAGTCGCTGTTGTTAGGACCAATATCAGTGATGAGGACACTTCCAGATCCATTGGAGGGGATCTTTCTGCCCCTCAGTTGGAGGTTGAGCACAGCTGTGTCCAGGTTGAACGGAGGAAGAGAGGGAAGAAAGGAGGGATGTGGAGAAGTGAAGAGAAGATGCAAACAAGCTTAAGGAAGCCTGGACTAAAGCAACTGCAGCAGGAAATGTACCAGGATAACTACCGCAGCTTATTTTCATACTGGGCAAGATATTAATAAAGCTCATGGCTTTTTAATAGCTAAAGTAAATCAAGTTGCAGTTTCTGCAAAAGCGTACGTGAAAGAAGCGTTAGTATTGCAAAGCCTGCAAACTCAAACCTCACTGTCAGTGTAAAGACGACACTCACCATCAGTCATAAATGGATGAGTGCAGACAAGCAAAGCAACAATCAACTGCTTCATTTTCTGCACCAACATTTTTGCACAAGTCGTCCACAGAGCAACAAAAAAGACGATGATGGCAGAAAAAACAACTGGTTCTTCGTTTCTCTCCCAAGTCACAGCCGAAAAGATCTTGCAGCAACTGAGGCAGCTTGGCAACTGCAGAGGCTATTTGAAGTGGTGGATTGCCACATGCGCACTGCAGTGGAGCTGTTAATTACCATGGCCGCGGCGGTGTCCATCCCGTGCCAGGTCTCACCAGGTAATTGGCAAATTGTGATGTCCTGTGCTATGGGCCCCACCCGGCTCTGAATTAATCCTAGTGAAAAATTCTCTCTATCATCACGGTGTAGCGGTGGTTTGCAGAGTGTAGTATTGAACTTCGATAAATTACAAGATACACTAAGAAATCTCTGCATTTGTAACAGTCCACAAGACTTTTAAAGTCCTGCTCTGTATAATTACGTTGCTATGCAAATCTCTTTAAAAGACACTCTAAGTCAATGTGTAACTGGATCCACTTACTGCGATTTTCAGTAACTTTCAAAAACAGCAACATTCAAAGTGGTATATACCCAGCATGGTTGGGTTAGGAATGTTACATGAGCTGCTGTGTCTGGATCTACATTTCTTAATGCCTGTAGTTGGCTGGGACAGTGTGGTAAACTTGATCAACGAACAGCAGAACACATGGTGGTTGGCTTTTTTGCCGGCTTGGGGATCAGAACATAACCATGTAAGTCAATACACGATAACTGTTTACAAGACAATCTTATACTGTTTGCATTTACTGCAGAGACAGGAGGATGCATGCTCGAGAGCTGAGAGCATGCAATGAGGGCTTGTGCCACGACATGGACATGATTGGAGCACAAGCTCAGATTTCTGGACTTATTGACGATCATTGAGTACCATTCCTGAACGAACTGAGTTCAGAACAAGACTGCAGAATTTTTCGCGTGGATCGCGCGAGTATCAATCCTTACATCGTGCTTACCTACGATCTGAATATAACATCGCTAGCTTCACTGCACCCCACACAAATGCATGGAATGTAAGGGCAGGTCCCGCCCTTACCCAAATTGGATAAGGAAATAGAAACTAACTTATTTAGTCTCCAAGTTCCAGGGCTAATCAGGTCAGAGGGAGTGAGGGGGGTAAATGACATTAATTGGCTGTTAATTCCCAACAATAGCCTCGTTCTTAATTCCTTTTTGAGGACAATTGCGTCCAATTTTCAGTTCTTTAAGGAAACTGACAGGTTCTGGCAAGGAGGCCGAAACTGCTAGACCGCGAGTTGAGAGCCAGGATTTGTTGCGAATGTCTCCTGTGGGACATGCCGACGAGGGACTTAACGGGATTAGTGGTGGCAGATAAGGAGGGAGAGATGCAGGGCGGGCCAAGACCCCAGTAGGGGGTGTCGAATCTTGCTATCTTGCTAAGGGTGTGGTGACGAGGATACTGGGTTATGATATTCTAAGGCATTCACTGGAGATTGAGTGAAAATTCTGAACGCTGCTACGCCTAACTGCGATATAATATTGCATCACATCGCCCTGGTTCACAGCTGCATAAGAATCTTTGATCTATGGCGAATTTTTAGAGATTGGCATAATTGACAAAAGAATGAGGCGTTTGGGTAAGCAACTGCAATTGACATAATAATCAGAAAATTAACCTTTTCTAATGTACTCTACCCCCCACTAAGCCTAAAACCTAGGTGTTAGTATGGGGGATTGGTCACGCCTCGCAAAACGCCCTGAATTTTCCGCCAGAAGGTACATAATTGTGTTAGGCTGTAGACCAACTACAGTTGTAGTTTGCGATAGCCAACGAGTAGCTCCATACAGTTGTAGAGCCAATTCCTTTCACCAACTACAGAGACACTTTGGCCCACCGGTGATTGGTTACGTCTCGAATGATGTGATTTTCCCCCCGACACCCATGTGCCCCAATAATCACGTCTTATTAATCGGGTTCAGATTACCTGTATATACCTAACCTTGTTTTGACTTCACCACCGAATTGCTGTAACCCCAGTTCATTGTCTAAATTGGCAGGGTGGATCTCAATCAATCAATTATAACTAGGTTTATAATAATGCGTTTCATGGGAGGGTAACTCCTATTGTAATTGAGTTCTAACAAAATTTACGCTTCTAACAAAATTCATGCTGACGACACACACATACAACCCCATCACACGAACAATTTTACCTTCATCAAAGAAATAGTGCTGTATTATAGCAATACATTTAGTAGGCAAACAGCCTAAACTAACTTACTGTGTGCGTATGATCGAAATATTAAAAAACAGCTTCCATTCTCTATGTGCAAAATGCAGTATTGTACAGCCAAGGAAGGTGTCGTAATAGCATAAAGACACCACACTTGTCACTTTGGCAAGTTCACTGTGTCGGAGAGCACGCAGCGACAATTCAATTTCTTTGTGTGCGACAATTACACCAGAATAATCTGTTGCTGCGAACAATCAGAAATGAATTTGAATTCTCCAACTAGTGACTTGCGCAACAGTGATTGGATCGATGATTAACAAACCGGAAAAACAGGATACAAAATGTCAATCGTCGTGCTTGCGTCATGCACAGTTTGTTAAGTGTCACAAAACGCGCATAATATACGACTGCAGTGCATGGTCCAAAGTGTATCAATCATAAATACACTAGTGCATAAATTAACAGGAGATGAAATTAATGCAATAATACCCTATTTTTAGAAACACACTGGATGATATAAACAGTGTGTGCGTGTTGCCATATTTAGTAGTTTGTATGCATCCAGGTTTTCATTCAACAGTCCAGGAAATTGGCCGCCATCAGAAGTTCGAGGGCAATCTCCCGAGAGATGGGGAATTCCGGGATCTCTGTACTACTGTTAGTATAGCGTACCTTGTAGGTGAAATACTGACACACCTTCGAGAGGACGTGGGATCTAAAAATAGTAACAGAGAGATGACATCATCCACTATAATGTAACAGACATTTTACTAAATACATATGGCATAGATGATAAAAAAGTGGGGCGACAGAGCTCACGGTATTTCTTTGAATCTGACTTCGTTCGTTTCATTCTCGGCAAACTGCCCTGGACCACTCAACATCGCCTTGATGGTCCCCGAAGTGAGGGCGTGCTCCCGTTTCAGAACAAACTCGTGTCCGTCGCTGGCGAATGAGCTTGACATACATGGCTTCAGGGCCCTCGGTGCCTCCGATGTCTTTGTTAGCGTCATCCGCTGTCTGATCTGACATTGTGGTCGGTGGCTGAGGGAGGGAGGGAGAGAGAAGGGGGGTAAGGAGAGTCACGGACAAAGAAAGAAATGTTAGCGGTAACTGAGGGGAGGGCAACAATTAGAACTACTAGCCGTGTGGAGTATACAGGTACACCTGTTTACGAGGCTACAAACAGGTATACAATTGTATGAAACACGTTACACATACACAGTACAGAGCAATAACTCACACAGTAGTCGTCGACAAGCACACACGCAGACTCAACAGAATAATCTCGGTGGGTTGGGTATTCACAGATAGCAATACGACACACGACCGGCGGGAGTGACTTACCAGGATACCAACACCAACGGCTAGACAGAGACGTAAAGATCACGTAGCTCCCTACACACAAGAGACCTGGAGACGAGAGAGAAGGGGGGGAGTCAGCGGCGAGTAGGAAATGCGCGCTTAGAGAGACCACCAAGCGCCTTGTTTGTGAAGATCACGTGCACGGTCACGTGGCAATTTCACCATGGCAACAGCGAACTTTCCTACACAGAGTGGGCATCTTATAGAAATCATCAAAAGCCATGGCCTCGCCGTCTTTACAGATAAAACTTGAAGGAGGTGGAAGAGGAGGGACAGGTGATCCGACGCGAGAAATTCTTCGCAGGAACAAAGCCTTACGGAAAAGTGAGCGCCGAGAGAGAATTCTGACCCAGCGTTTCTGTCCGCTTCTTGTACCTGGCGGCGCAGGCAGAGAGCGGCGGCGAAGAGACCCGTCCACCATAGCGTCCATTCCCAGTCGCTACCAGGTGTTCTTCCACCGCTCAACACAGGCCAAAGGCTTCCAAAGTCAGAGTTCTCGCTTCCAGGAACACATCAACGTTGTGAGTTAGCCACTTAGCTAGCGGGAGAGGCAATTTTTGTGTGGTCAAAACAGATGAACCCTCTCTCTCTATCTCTCTGTGCAGGATGATAGTCCGGGGCCCGGCAGCTACACCACTCCTCACTCGTCCCTCAACACCCACCCCACGTCCTCGTCTACTGCCGGCAGTGGAGGGTTCGCTTCTAAGGTAGCATCGACAGAGACACACTGTTGCTTATGGGGACCCTACGGTTGTCTGTTGGCAAGGCAGCTAACGAAGGTGCCCCTGTATTTTGCGCCCCATATTATGTGACATGCTGGCCAGGTGTATGGATAAATTGTCGCCACACCACACACTCACACGCAAGCAAAGTGATACGTAACCATGCTAATAATGGATACACACTTTGCCTTGATAATGCTGCCTGCAATTGGCTAACTTTAGCTTCAGCAATCTGATTGGTCAATTTGAATCTGCCGGGGACGTCTAAGTAAATAAAGCCAGCCAGCATTGCTCTGTCGATGGTTCTATTATTGCAGACAGTAAGGTTCAGAGGGAGAGAGAGGGAGCAGGGTCGGACCAGGCTTGTACAATCCTTGTCTTCCTCCTCCGAGACGCGACTTTAGCTACACAAACGTCAGCAGGTGAGACCAGACATCTACTACATTCTGTCTGCTAATACAATGCCCTGAATGGTAGAGATTTCATGTACCCAGCTGCTAGAGTCTAGGAGAATGTCTTACAATCCTTCAGCATTACACAATGTTTCAGAACAAGGCTCTATATGTAGTGTGAGATGGATGGTCTCTCTTTGTCTACGTGTGTCCAGGTTGTTCCAGGCACCAATAGCAGTGGCACCGGAGGAGAGAGGGGCGACTGGAGACGTCTCCCCCAGCCCCACCTCCTACCATCCCTCCCACTGCCACACCAGAACCAGCCACGCCGTGTCAGCAGAGGCAGCTTTCAAATCCAGGTCTGTCTCCTCACGTACTCTGGGTGTCTGATTCAACTTCTACACACCAATCTCTTTTTTCCGTTTGTGACATGTCTCTTCTATGCCATTTATTCCGTCTCTTTCTAGATCCAAGCGATCGTCTCTCTCCTCCTCTTGCACTCTGACCCCATCTCCTGGACACTACAACGTCAGGGACAGTTTCCTCCATCCCTTCCTCCTCCTCCCACTCCTGTGTCTTTGCCTCCAAATGTCGCCGCGGCATACCTCATCCTTCCTCGGTCTGTCCCAGCAATCCTACATCATCGTAGATATCAATTGGTGCCATAAGACATGCGATTAATACTAAATGACTGTATAATATTGCAGTTAACACTTAACCAGCCACCCGACACATAAATGTGTCCAGAGCCTCCATAAGTCCATAAGAATTTATATGGGGGTTATAATACTAGGCGCTAATACTTTATACATCGATTTCTGCTTATTTAAGGAGATACCCATGGCGTCCAAAGGGTTAAACCTCTGAAATAAACCTTGAGAACAAGACACTGTATATTTTGCCTCTGCATGAATCAGAGATATATACCTCACTTTCAATGTCCCCAATGTTTCTTGTTTTCAGAAGTTGCTTTGTGATGCTGATTTTTAGCTTAGTTTGATGATCTTTTTCTTAGGGTCCAGGGCCAGCTGACTACTCTCCCCACACTCACCCTCTCTCCACCACCAACCCCTCTTCTCATGCTCCACAGCAACATCGTCAGAAACTGAGGATATCTGCCCCTGCCCTCCCTCTCCCTCCTCTCCCTCCCTCACCTGGCCCCGGACACTATGAGACAAAGGTACATATATAACTCCACCCCCTATTACACTCTTTTCTTGGCTTGGAATGCTACTAGCCAGACGAATCGTTCAGCTTCAGTCTTTTTGCAGGGGTCCATTGTAAGGTCTGAGTCAATGAAGATCGTGAAGCCCAGTGGGTGTGGCTTTACCTCCAACGTCGATCGCTGGGGGTCGGAGGTCAAGCGTAACCATGACAATGAACCCGGACCAGGTGGGTAAACAATGGTTCCTCATTCTCCATCTTTATTTTCCCATCGTCTCCTCCTACAGGTTCTTATGATCTTGTAGATCACTGCAAGAAGTCTTATCTATACAACCTGCACACAAAGTGGATCTAGCATTTCTTATTTTCCGTATACTTCGCCTGTATATATTCCGTAAACTCTCAGTATACCTCCGTGCAATATTCCGTAAACGGCGCAGATTTACGTCACATTTCGAAATATTCGACCTATTGCGTCATCATAAACCGCAGACTGAACAACGATAAAAGGATCCCATCTTGTCTTGACGCGAAGTTTCCAAGGCGAGGTGACAGAGAACGCGATGGAATGTACAGTAGCGACCGCAAACAGAACTTCAACAACTCGAAGAAGATTATAGCAACGACAACAACAAGAACCACTCCCACGAATACCGCCGTAAAAACGGACGACCGCGGTATGCAGTTCGTGCTGCTGCATTACTACTGGACTAAAGCAGATTCACAGCTATCTGAAAGACTGCGGACCGCCCTCTCTAGCGCCCGGCAGTGGCCGAAGAAGAACTTCAACTTTCTCCTGTTTCTCCTTACCTGCTACATAGTAGCCGGACGTATCGGACCGTTCGTGAGCCGAGCCGGCGATTTCGCCATCCAGACTTTCGAAGTCGAGCGACTGATAGTTGAGGAGTTCGACAGGAGGCGTTGGAACTGTTTCGCGGCGTATTCTCGAAGTTTAGAGTCGTCACACGCTCGCCTTCCCCGTCTCTTCTGTTTGGGAGGTGAGTGGGGGCCGGGAAAGAAGGGAGAGAGAGGGAAAGTGAGAGACAGTATAATTATACAGCTGTGTGAATAGAAAGGGGCGGGACGGTGGTAGAAGGGGAGGGAGATAAGTGGCAACAACAGGGGGATTGTGAATGCATGAATGGAAAGACAAGACACTCAATTTGGCCTGTTGCTAGCGTAGGGGCTGCACCATTTCCCTCTTCCCAGGAAACTCTTTGTTATCCCAATTCTCATAATAATATACTAACCTTCCGTTTGTTTTGCAATACTATTTACTCTGGGTCCTCTCCCTCCTACAGAGCATCTCAGGAGACCAGCACACAATTAGAGACAGCTATGGGAAGTCGCTGCTGCAAGCCCAGCGCAGCAAGCAAGTACCAGACACACGAAGACAATGGCAGCTCACCACCACACGGTGATGAAGAACCGCAGGAGCCAGCCACCAAGAAAGATGTAGCGCCGCTCTACGAAAAATCCACTTCCCCCGCCTCTTCTTCTTCTACCGAACCTCTTGTAGCAAAAGCCAAGGACGCTACAGAGGCAGGGAAACCAGAGCAAGAGGAGAGAGAGGGAGAGGAGGTAGGAGGAGAGGAGGGAGAATGCAGAGAGAGGGAAAGTTCGGTTTCTCCACTCTCTCCATCTGAGCCACTCCCCCTGAAGAGAGTCAAGGACCAGGATCGAAAGGATAGCATGTTTTCCTTCAATGTCGGGAGCACAGAGAGCCTGGTGGGGCTGTTTGGTCAAGACAGGCTCAACCCAGCCGATTTCAAGAACAAACCAATCAAATTCAAGAAAATCCAACCCACTATCCAGACCGGCGACCTGGCATTGCTGTACCGCCGTGAGCATCCCGTTCCCCACGTCGCCATATTCGTGAACCACGTGGAAACAGACCCCCTCTTCCCTCTCCTGCTGGTGAAGGGGAAAACGAAGCCTCTACCACGCGAAAAATTCCACCCCGGACAAACCGCGTTTCATCCATCCAATCACAGCCACCACGAGGATATTTTACGGCGACTACGAAAGAGTCGCCGTGCGTTATATCCAGACGACCGAAGCAATCGACGTGGAGAAAGCGATGGATGCGATAACCGCCGTAGAAGCCATACACTTCTCCAAGAAGGAGCAAAGTGCTATAGAGGCGGCTGAAACGGACTATCAGCGGAGTCTCTTAATGTCGACGTTCATGGCGGCTTACTATTACAAGGAGCTGGGCATTTTCGACGGGACACCGGATGAAGTTACTCCAGAGAATTTCGTGGAGCAGTTGCCTCTGTCTGATCCTCTGTACGTCAAGCTGCCCACGGTGAAGCTGGGGCCAATGGCACACGGCGACCCTCCGTTCTTGAAACAACTCGTGTAAGTTCCCTTTTTTGGTTCTGAATGGTGCATGCAAAGTGTAGGTGTTGTATGTATGCTCTAGTAGTCTTACGGTATGTTGGTACACTCTCGTTTGTGTGGGAGTGTGTATAGCCCAGAATTTGAGTACAAAGTGCGAAATTTGAGTACAAAGTGCGAAATTTGAGTACAAGTTCGGAATTTTAGTACAAGAAGGAAGGAGGGAGAGAGACGAAACGACATGTGACGAGTGTGTTTGTGGCCCTGTGCCATCTGCCAGCTGTGCTTGCCCAAAGCAGCAGTAAATGTGAGGGACAGCTTTTGCTTATGAGTACGCAATTATTCCCAGAGTGGTGGGTGTATATAGCAATAGTGGGATATGTCTCTGTGTCATTAGTCAAAGCATGCCGGAAGTAGTAACACTACATCCTCAGGGTGTATATACATTATATATAGTACACATAGTGTTGTTAGCAGTGTAGACAGGTGTTGGTACATGGTTTGCCAAAACTGCCATTTGAGCTCTCTTTGGCTCTCTCTCTGTAGCTCTAGCACACCGTTACCTTTTGATTTTTGCTTTCTTTCCCCCTCTCTCTCTCTCTCTCCCCTCTCCTCCCCTCATCCTCTTCCTCTTCCTCCTCAGCGATGGAATCTATACTCCACCTGACGTTACGACACTGCCATACGAAGAGGCCATTCGGGGACTCGACACAGGTACTTACTATTCTACTAGATTATATCATAGCTGACAAATTCCACAAGATAGGTTGCACTTACACTAGCCTAGTTCATATACTGTGTCACTCTGACCTTGTCTGCTCCTTCCCTCCCTCCCTCCCTCCCTCTCTCTCCTCACCAGGTGACGTGGTCCTATTCTCAGGGAGCCACAAGCCAAGGCGCCATCATAAAGTTCTTTGACCACTCCCAGTTCTCACACGTTGCCATGGTACTCAAGGCACAGTACACCTCACAACTCCTTGTTTGGGAGGCCAGCACTAACCACGCCAGTAAGTTTTTAACCGGCTGTCTATCTATTTTCCACTGTATATAGTGTCTGGCTTTGCGTCCAATTAAGGTGTTTTAGTAATATGCACTGTGTTTATAAATCTCTGAATTTGTGGGTGAACCCCTATCAATTTACTGTAGAGTATATTGAGTGGTAGGAATGATGATATGAAACTGATATGAGTATTGCGTACTATAGTTTCAACCCTCATTCCTCCCCTCTCCCCCTCTCTCCCCACAGAGCTAGTCGACGTCCAAGCTGGTGCAGTCAGAACAGGCGTTGAGGTACTTCCTCTGAGGAACAAGGTCTTCTCTGGCTGGTACGACAGGGTCGCCGTGCGCCGACTCCAAAACATAACATCCGAACAACGCAAGAACATCTACGAGACGATGCTACGACTCCGCAAGGAGTGGATGGGCCGTTCGTACGAAAAGAACCTCGTTCAGATGGCGCTCTCGGCCATAAATCCGAGCGACACGTTTCTCTCCCTCTTCCAAAACCGGGAGGAAGATCTGAGCAGCTTGTTTTGCAGCGAGCTCGTCGCCGCGGCATACCAGCGAATGAATCTGGTGACGACCGCCCGTCCTTCAAACGGGTACACCCCTGACGATTTCTCCAGCGCCAGAGACTCAGAGATCCTGTGCAAAGGGGTGGAGTTGAGCGAAGAAGTGTACATCGAACTGAAATGGCCTTCGTCGGCGTTCAAGACACAACATAGCGTGTACTAAACAATAGTATATATGTCATCTATTATGTAATGTACGGCCGGTATGATGTAAGCACGCAGCGTGTCATCTTACACTATGCAGAACACCCCATCTAATAAGCACATGTCACATGTATAATGTATAAATGTAAAACCAAGTTTTTCATTACTTGTGCACCTGTTCACGTAACTACAATTTGGCTTGTGTGTGAAGATTTCATCCACGTGTATATATTTTTGTTTTTTCATAACATCCATTTCTATAAACGACGTAAAAAATGAGAATGATTAAATTTCTCACTCTAGGCTTGCTTGTGTTTCTAGTAAGTATTGTAACTTCGAAAGAGGGGAGAGAACATTTTTACTATGGATTTAGGGCATTTTGTTACGAGGCTATATATTTAGCATCTTGTTGTCATGGCGTGATTATATTGTATGTCATGTGTAGGAGGATTTCTTATATAGCTCCCACTCACCAATTAACCCTTGTGTATTATATTGTTTAACACCTCTGTTCCCCAGGGGGCATTTGTGTACGAAGGTCACATGATTGACAGACAGCTACTACTGCAGGCCCAGAACATTGTTAGTCTCCTTGGCAACGTCAGGCAATTTTCTTTATAATTCTTCACTCCTCAAACTTCCTAATGCTACCATGCATGGAGATGAAACTTGGTACGCATGCGTGTAACATCATTTCCATGACAACCACTTTGAATAAATAGCCTTAACCAATCTTCAAACAAGTAATTCATATCACTTATTTTGTGTGCAGAAAATAGGGACGTTATGGCAGAATATTATTGTAACAGCCTGCGCATAATCACAACTTGTTGTAATTATACTGTACAATGATATTGCAAAAAAAACGTACTTGTAACTAAACAACAACACATTCCTCAACATGGTTCGGTGCTCCAACTCCACCCACTATGATGATCTTGTCAGGTGATGGACTGGCTACTAAACATATGTTCCTACCACTAGTCATAGAGCCAATCTCCACCCACTGTCCATCCACTAGCTGGTGAATGGAGTTGACTTGTGACCCACCTCGCCAGCCACCAATGAGTACTAGCTGTCCACAGAGAGTGGCAGCTGTTGAGTATTCCACTGGTAGAGGAGGGAGAGGTTTCCATGATATTAGGTGTGGTATTGGTTTGTCACTGGATGGTAGAGCTGCAAGAGAACACGAGTAGCCGTCAGCACCATATCCTATCACATGTACTAGATCACCACATATTGTGGCCGAAGGGTAGTTGAGGAACTGGAGAGGTTGTGGTAAATCTGTTAGTTGGTACCATCTTCTGCTCTTCACTTGAAATAGTTCAACTATAGAAGTCCAATGACCGACAAACCCCCCAATCACAATGAGGTATTCACCGTCAGATGCACTAACTACAGCAGTGTTGGAACGTACAGTGTTCATTGGAGGGTATTTCTCAACCCATTTCCTCTGTTGTAGTGTGTATAGTTTGTTAGTACAACATGATGATACAACATCCTCTCCCCCCACAGCAGTTAGTTCCCCGTCAATGATGACTAGTCCAGAGTTGGGATATGGACATGAAGGAAGTTCCTCCCATTTCTTTGTACTACATTCATATTGGTAGACTGAGTTGGAGAGACCAAGTGGGGTGAAGTATGCAAATCGACCATCAGTTGTTGCAGATCCTCTCTCCATTTTACATGGTGCTGTCTTCTTACGATGACACTGCACAGTGAGCTGAGGGGAGATCACATGACATGTAATGGCATCATCACATGACTCACATAATATTAAACATTGTTTTTAGAAATCAAAACCACAAAAGGGGCATTATTAATTAATAGGCATGGCTTCAATTTCCATATCCTCATTAAAAGGCATCATTAGCTCCAGTGAAAGTGTGAACAAATATTTAATGCGCAAACCTTTCTGGGTTTAATATTGACTGGCGTGGAATGTGGTATAGCTGTTGGTAGAAGACTAGACTGGGTCTGGGAGGGTGGAGTAACAAATAGCAGTATTCACAGACAGTGGATAAAGAGTTAATATCTAAGATCGTTGGAAGTATATACACAAGTCAGAAGGTAAATGATTACAGGTTGAGGATACAGCTGTTGCTAGACAACAAGACTGAGTCTGAGAGGAATGTGTGGAGTAAATTATTCACAGCCAGTAAGACTGACCTTTGTCCTCTGAGTCGGCTCCGAGAGTCTCTGGTAGAGGGTCTTCTGGAAGTCAGCCACTAGAGCCTTACTTGGTTGCAGCTGTTCCTCCTGCAGTCAGGAGGACCTCTAGTCACAAAACATGACACATCTGCAGTTATCACTATCACTTCAGTCTCAGTTGCTGCTGAGTCCAGCTAACTCTCTCTCCTCCTGTTAGCTATCTCTCACTGTCTGCTTCTCTCTTAGCTCCCTGTCCTCTGGCCTGCTGCACTAACTCAGTTCTGCAGTCAGGAGAACCTCTAGTCACAACACACAACAACTCCACACACTAGACTAACTCTCTGTCTCATCTCCTGAATCTGCTGCTGCTCTCTCCTGATAGTCTCCTCTGCTCTGGTCAGCTCTGCTCCTTGTCTAGCTAAACTTTCTCCTAAATAGAAACACAAAGTCATCACCTACTTAGACACATGAAACAGCCACGTCATAACTCTACTTCAGCAGTCTCAGTGCAAAACTCCCTGTCATGCTGAGCCTCAGCTACAGTTGAGGCTGAGTCAGGTAAGCTCCCTGTCTGGCTATGAGCGAGAGATTCGTGCCAGAGTACTCATTATTATGCTTTACCACGGAAACCAATTGCCCAGCCCAATGACGTAAAATGTAATCTGGGGGAGTTTTGCCACAGCAAAAACTGAGTGGATGTTACTCTTTACCTGATTCCTGGAGTGTAGTTCCTGCACACTTGACTGGAGATCTGCATTCTCCTGATATTTTAGGAGTTCACTATCAAAACTCTATTGTTATGACAAGTATTCCCAAGTCCCCCACCTGGTTCCTGGGCTGGGTCTGAGCAGCGTTGCACCTTTCCCACCCGCTGTCCCTGGCTCCAGCTTGGCCTCCTCCAACAGACGCAGCACTCACGAATGCTCGGGCGTTTGTGAGGACCGTTGTGCAGGCATTGCTGGATCAGCCGAATGAGAGGGTGGTTCCACATGGAGCTGGCCACAGGCACGGAGTTGCTCGTTCACGTGTCGCATGTACTCAGCGCGTCGCTTGTAGTTCAGTGCGAGCTACTAGCACCCAGTTTCATTCATTGATAGTTTGCAGCACCGGGATCAAGGGGAAGACTTCACCGATTGTGAAAATGGCAACTACTCCAAGAGAGACGACATCGATACTGCATCGTACTTGACTTTGGGCATTCGATTTAGCAGGAGCACTGGCTTCTGGAGGCATGTAGACTGAGGCCCAGGTCCTTTGTCATGGTGGCTGCAGTTTTCAGACAGAGGAACGATACGAGCACGCCAGATCACTATCTTGGCACCAATCCCCGAGTCAGAGAACGTTTCTGGCGACAAGTCGCGGTGGATGACGGGCGGTGATCGCTCGTGGAGGTAGGTAGACCGCAGCCGTTGTGCAGGATACGAGCACTTTAGGCTGAGCGGGAGAACGGCTGGGCGTGTTGGGCGGGGAGGCGGGTCCGTTTCTGGGTCCAGCAAGTCGTGAAGACTCGTCAGCAGTCGCTCCATGACGAGGGCTGGCAGTCGCGAGCCTGGAAAGAAGGCGACGCCCAGAAACTTGACGATATTCTGGTGGTCGAGGGTGCTCATAAGCTGACATTCCCTCACGAACTGGGCAGTGGCTCTGCGGATCTCGGCCGCGGGGATCTCGGAGCGGTCCAGGAAGATGTCGTGGATCTTTTTGGCGGCGCAGATGGCTCCAGGCACGGCCACCTCCTCCACGCTGCCGTAGGCTCCGGCGTCGATTCTGATGCCAGTGAGTCGCACGTTGGGGAGGACGAACGGCCGCAGCTCAAGATACTCGGCGAGAAGGCCTTCCGCGGCCATTTCTCGTGCTGTGGGTCACGACAGTCTGATTTTGCTGGTCTCTCAGTAGCTACGGTTCAAGATGAAGATGAAGACAGTGCTAGTGGGCCCCAGCTCGGCGCCCCGGCCCCCCCAAAAATGACCGTAAAGTTGTAACAACGTGCGCATGCGTACGTCCTGTAGAATGTAGAATTTTGGTACCAAAAGGTAAAATTAGCTACCAAAAGGGTGGCTGGTTGCCTACTTAGGCGACGCAAGCACATAGGGGTGTGGCTTTTTGATGTATATACCTATAGGGTGGCTCATTTAGAGAAGGAGCCGTCTCGGGGATGGTCCGTCTGCGTCTGTCCTTCTCTCGCTCCCTCCAGGAGCCGCTCCCGTGACTGACACTCCACTTACAGAACAGGTCGCCCGACGGGAACTCACTGGCGCCAACTAGTTCACCTATCACGTGAACCTCCGCCGACGAAGTGCAGGGAGAAAACGGGGTCGACGCATGTAGCTGCGGAGGTTAGCTCTCTCTCTCTCCATCGTTTCTCCGTGTCTGACAAGGTCGAAACGCTCCGCCGAAGCGGTCGAGAAGAAGCTGCAGCTCACTGCAGCAGGGTCACGGAAGGGTGTGGTACACGTGTCCGCGCGCATGCGCAGTTGTTCATGGTAGCTCCCGAAATTATGACCGACAAACAATGTGAACGACTAGAGGTGTAGATGTGGTTGCTATGGTGATGTTTGTTCACTTGGGCGGCCATTTTCCTTCTGCTATCAGTTTCGCTTTCTGTGCTCTGATGGCTTCAAGTCTCTTTGCCTGTGAACAAGAGAAACAATATTTCCAAACACACAAGGACACCACTGAATAATACTTTGATACCCTAATGTGCCCCCTTACTCAGAAAATTTTATAGGTAGCTAGAAGGAGGGAAAAAAGCACACTTGGGTGTTTATCACAAGGATGCTACCTAGGACATTACAGACACCTAACAGTCTCTGAAAATCTATGACTATACACAATAGAGACTTCCGGAATATTGGGGGAGAGGAGTAATATTGAGGTATATAGGCACGCCAGCAGAGAATCTGTCCTCACCAGTTTGACATGGTGGAGGCACTCCATATAGTCGTCCCTCTGGTGTCTGCAGATCTTCATCGATATCGATCCCTCCGTCTCCAGACACGCCATGAAGTCCCGCCACAGCGTGTAGCACCGCCCGCGACCTCCCTTCACTCCGTGTCCTGATACCATCCCTGTCCGGAAAGTAAGCGTATTTTTTTACCGAAATTTCTAAGTTTGAGCTACGTGCAAAGGCATCCATTACAAGCACATATGGAAAACGTTATATGCACACATAAAACTCACTAACTTCGTTTTTCCGAGCTTCTCTGAAGAGGTTTCAATCGGAGAGGGACTTGCAGTTTTAGGATGTCACGTGATAAACAACTAAGTCACATGATATACACGCGCGCTGAAAGAAACGCATACACGCATGCGCACCGAGAACGCCCTCTGGCCTCGTACACGTTGGATCTCCGCGACACAGCCGTAAGTAATCCCTCTCTCTCTCGACCATCCTGACTGTAGAGCTGCGTATGAGACTAGGGATAGGTTCTAGATAGAATTCTGTTGACTGCCGACTTGCAGATGGCGCTAGTAGCGGGGACAAAGATCATCAAACCGGCCGGAGAAAGGTTGGATAAACTTGAAGAAGCTGTGTCACAGGTGAGCGATGGATACCGCTACACGATGACTAAATAGGCTTTCGTGGAGCGTGTGTGTGTCTACCGCTTGTGAAGTGGTGGATGTACGTGAGGACGCACCGTGTTCCATAAGTTCCGTTACCTCACGGCAGGCGCTGGTGGAGCTAGAAGCGACCACGGATATCCGACAGATCCTGAGGGACGTGTTTTTCCTAGGAGCCCGCGAGGTGGATGCGGCGGGGAAGAAGGCCATCTGTATCTACGTCCCCGTACCTCAGCAGCAGCAGTTCCAGAAGATACAAGTAAGACACATTCTGACTGCAAATTGAGAACTGCGGAAGACCATTAAACTAAACAAAAATTTGACTTTGGCTTGTATTTGTGATTTCTGACGGCGCTATTTTGTAGCCACTGCCAAGTCCTACATGCTTACAGTGTGTGTCATGTGATCTGACTTTCTCCTTGACGGGGCCAGGTGAGGTTGGTTCGAGAGCTGGAGAAGAAGTTCAGCGGTCGACCGGTGGTGTTCATAGCTCATCGGAGGATCCTCCCCAAGCCAAAGAGAAACCAGCGGACCAAACAGAAACAGCTCAGACCACGGAGGTTAGCAGAGAGAGAGGAGCGAGACCAAGCACAAGAGATGATGCAGTAGAGAATATTTACACTGCAATTTAACACATTGGAAAAAACAAAGTAGTTGTCAATCTTGAAGCACAAAAACAGCAACGAGGAGTGGTGAGCATGTGCAACATAATTTTATAGCGGCACATTCTTACGAACGCTTTTAACCCCTTACTCACCCTCCCTCCCTCCTCATTCAGTCGTACACTGACGGCAGTCCACGATGCCATTCTCCAAGACCTGGTCTTTCCAGCCGAGATTGTGGGCAAAAGAATTAGAGTCAAACTGACGGATCACGACTCATCAAAGTGTAAGAACCGAACTCTTCATTAGATCTACTCACGGCTGGTTGTTTGGTTGCAGGCATTTGGATAAGACCTCGCAAACAACTCTGGAACACAAGGTGAATTATTGTCCAACTATCTGTATACATTCCCGGTGGTATTGAGTTGTGTGTGCCCCTCCCCCCTTCTCGTATGCTCTCTCTCTCTCTCTCACACACACACACACACGCACGCACAGCTGGAGACATTCACAGCTATCTACAAGAAGCTGACGGGAAAAGACGTCACTTTCGAATTCCCCGATCCCCTGGTCTAGCCGCGTGAACTATAGCTCCAATAATAATATTGTAAAGCTCTTCCATCTGTATAGAGTTGTCCGTTCCAATAAAACGAATTTTTGAGACTCCAAGTTTTTAACTCGTATGCGTATTTTAGCGATTTGTTGTGCGCATGCGTCGAATCCGCGCGCGCGCTCTCCGCCACGCGGCAAGTTTGAGAACAGCTGCTTCTCTCCGAAGTAACGAAGACATCATCATCAGTGAGCGGAACGACAGAAGAGAGAGGACGAAAGGGGAAGGCGAGATCAATAATACTGCATCAGGTGGTTGATTGCAGCAGTGTCGAACGCATTATTCCAGGTCAGACGAGCCGCGTCGTCGTATAAGAATCGCGTTTTGATACAGCTGTTGCGTACGTACCAAGTCAGTGCAGGAAACTGTTCTTGGAGAAAGAAATGTGCCCTGATTAGCCACGTGTCCTCATTTCAGGGGTGTCCTTAGAGAAATCCACTGTATTTCTGCTGCTGTATATTATAGACAAGTACAAACGTTTTTCTCCATATTCACCAAAGTGATATACAATCCTGATAGAGAGGGGAGGAAGAGGGAATGGCAGGAGATAGCTCCGGGGGAAGAGGTAGTCACAGGAGCCAGCTGTCGATGGCCTCTCTGAGGGAGAAGGCCAGCGGTGTGCCTCGCAGGAAGGCGTGCCACTGGGTCGCTCAGTGGTTCACTATCCCTCAACTCACCACCAAGATCCTCTCCTTCGTATGTTGTGCATAATAATTATACTGGTCACGCCTAGTTTCAGTCAAAACCAAATTTTGTTCTGTCCCTCTTCAAAACTTTTTGACTCAATAGTTTAGTTTCGATCCGACATTTCCTAAGAAGTTCTTTCTCTTGAATGCAGTCACACTCTCATCTTCCCCTCACTAGAGTTCACTTTCTAATCCTCCACCAGCAAATCGTTTCCATTTTACATATATGCTATATATACTATCTATAGTCACAGCTCCTATAATTATCACTCACTTATAATTATTATATAAGATTTATTTCCCTCCTGCCAGTGTCTAAGTGTAGTGGCAGTAACTCTGACTCTAACATGGGAGAGTTCAGGGGTCACAGTCCAAGATCTCGATACGGCCACGTTCCAGTTCAGAGGTCGCATTCTGGCGTTTGTCGTCGTCGGATGTGTCACCATTGTTTATGCCATCACCCTGACGACTGTCGGACTTGTGGGGGTCAAAGTACATGCTAAACTGGTATGCAACATTCACATCATCACGCGCTGTGCACAAAAAGTCAGTATCCATCACAACCAGTTAAACGAAGACAGCATTTTCTATCAGCTTACTTTTATGACAGTCATCTCTCTTTATTTTATGTCTTTCTATATTTTTATTTTCGATCCTATATCTTTTCCTTCTTCCCCCAGTTAACCCTGGTATCGGCAGTGGTATTCTTGCTGTGGTTCTTCTCGGCCCCTGTGATGAGTGCCACGGTCACTGAACTAAAAATCTCCAAGTTTGCCAGGTGGCGAGATGTCGATGTCACCATGCTGGAGGTTGCCACGGTACATTGCTGCACCGTTTGGGAGCAAAAGAGAATGCAGTGGAACCTCAGATAAAGGGCCCTCCAAATAACACACCTCTCTATAAAGGACACCTGTACCTTGTTGTTGTTGCAAGTATAATATAGGTATTATAACAAAATGGATGGGTTAAAATCAATAGTACTAGCAGTAATCCTCATTCTCTCGTCTCTCTTCTCTAACTGTATGTACTCAGGGTATGGGGTTCTTGTGTAAGGTGGTGGCAATGGTGGACATCCTCCTGGCCTTCACACAGCTGTCTCAGCTGGACAGTGACACCGCTCGGTTCTCAATGGAGGTGGAGAAATCTCGATCCACCATCGAGGCCGTCAAGAGTGGGCTTTCCATGCCTCTGGTAGTATACAATACTACTGTATATAGAGTGGAACCTTTTCTCTAAGGACACCCCTTAAATGAGGACCACTGTCTAATAAGGACACCTCTCTAAGGACACCCCTGAAATGAGGACACCTCACTAATAAGGACACCTTTTCTTCCCCAAGAACAGTTCTTGCATGCAATTCAACCCCTGAAATGAGGACACCTCACTAATAAGGACACCTTTTCTTCCCCAAGAACAGTTCTTGCATGCAATTCAACCCCTGAAATAAGGACACCTCTCTAATAAGGACACTTTCTTCTGTCCCATTGGTGTCTGGATTAGAAAGGCTTTCTCTCTCCCACTGTCCCACAGAGTGTGTCCAGCAACACAGTCCGCCACAGATCCTCAAGAACCTCTTCACAGCGTCAGGCATCGCATGACCGTGTTGCCATGGAGATGGAGGAAGCCACACTGGTTGCCGAGGGCGACGACCCACCAGGTCCTGATGAGGAGGACTCAACATGGGAGGCCATTTAGCTAGTTACTCTTATTGACCTTGCATTAGCAGTAGTTGTTTGACTGACGAGCTGATCGAGGGCTAAACCTCACACGCATGCGCAAAAGTAATCTACTCTGAGCGCGCGCCGCGCCGGCTATAATTGCGCCTCACCCCGTCCTCCATCACCGACGAACAACGCCAGGCCCTTGCACACGGCGCGTATATACGGAATGCGATTGCCATAAAAACCGGCTCAAACCGACAGAAGTGAATAGCGGTAGCTTCTGCAGCACCAATGGCCACTTACTACGATATATTGCTCCTCGGACGTACAGGAAGAGGAAAAAGCTCCACTGGAAATAGGCTGCTTCAGTGCGGCAAAGAAGATGTTGCGCATCCCCAGGGTCACGATCACCAGGAAAAAGGAGGTACGGGAAGCGCCCTTGCGGCAGCGGGTAGCTACCTGGCTTTCGTTGTGGGTGACGGAATTCACTCACTCACAAAAAGTTGCAAGGTTATGTCGAACGAGGAATCCAATGTGCGGGTTCTCGACACACCAGGTTTTGCGGATACCGCCCAAAGTCTGAAGAAAAACGGCGTTTTCAGAGCAAATCTCCAGGTTTTTAGGTCTATCATTCGTGCCCAAAAGGAAAACGAGTTGGCGTTCCGTCGTATAATTTACTTCCTTCCAGTACGTGGGCCAATGGAGCGTGCAGATGGTACCCTACAAGAGGAGATGAAATTAATACACGGCTTTCTGGGAATTGATGCATTTAAGATTATGGTTATAATTGCAACAAATCACAAAAAACATCAAAGTGTTGTCTTTGATGAAGAAGATGTTGCTAAAACTCAAAAAATAGTGATGTTAACATTGGATAATATTACCGCGAAAGGAGAAAATGCCATTAGGAAGTGCCCTCCTATAGTCTATATCCCATTACATGAAGGAGATGTCATTAGTATGATCAAGAGTGCGCCAGTTTTAAATGATATAGTACTAACTCAGGGTGTGGTTGTTCACAGATGCATTAAATGTGCTGCAAAATTATTGTACTCCAGCGACAATGTGCTTGATAGAGTTGTTGTCGATGAAACCGGTGAATGTGAATACAGCATAGCTTATAAGGAAAGCAAGTGTCATCCCATCATCATTCCTCGCTACTCAACCCTTGAAAAGGTTGTTGGAGGGTCAGCACATGTGTTAACACTTGGAATTTTTCTCATAGGAGAAGATTTTAGTGGAATAAAAGTATGGCCAGGTTTTACTAATGATGAAGAGCTCTGTCTTTGTTGCGAAAAATCACCAAGTGATGAAGCATGCAAAACGATTGACAGTGATTATAAAGGCAACCCCACAAAGCACTCCACTGTTTGGAAAGGAGTTATTCGTACAGATAACCAAAATTAATTAACGAACATGTAGGTTTTAGCTGTTTTTGCATTGACTGCAAAGCAAATTATGAATACTCTTGTTGCTCTATTATCACAACTGTAACTAAAACTAATTTACGTGGTATGTTCTTACCCAACTATCAGAGCGTCGGTAGACG